CCGCATCTACCTAATGAGTCCCAAGAAGTGCGAAACCGGCCGTGGGCTGTCGACGAGTTTTCAGCGACCTTGTGAGTAGTTTCCTTTATGAAAACGTTCGTTGTGTTCGAGGTGTTGGGTGCGAGATGGCTCGGTGGTCATAGCACGAATTTACTAACCGGAAGATCTGTGGTTCGAATTCAAACTCTGCCTCCCGATTTTTCCTGTCCGGGTTTGGACAACCTGGCATTATTCCAGCCCTCCTGCTTCCTTCGGGCCGCGGGGCAGATAGGCACTCAGAGGATCCTGCAGCTGAATGATTTCGATTTTGGTGTTGGCCGTACCAACAATACAGCTCAAACTTTGAACAAGATTGCCTGTTCAAACGTCTTAATTCAGGGGCGTCAAATATGCACATTCGCCTCGTTTAGCAGTCGTCCGAAGTTTGGCAGGCGCTGTAATACTTGTAAAATTATCATATATATACATATATATGATAATTTTACAAGTATTACAGCGCCTGCCAAACTTCGGACGACTGCTAAACGAGGCGAATGTGCATATTTGACGCCCCTGAATTAAGACGTTTGAACAGGCAATCTTGTTCAAAGTTTGAGCTGTATTGTTGGTACGGCCAACACCAAAATCGAAATCATTCAGCTGCAGGATCCTCTGAGTGCCTATCTGCCCCGCGGCCCGAAGGAAGCAGGAGGGCTGGAATAATGCCAGGTTGTCCAAACCCGGACAGGAAAAATCGGGAGGCAGAGTTTGAATTCGAACCACAGATCTTCCGGTTAGTAAATTCGTGCTATGACCACCGAGCCATCTCGCACCCAACACCTCGAACACAACGAACGTTTTCATAAAGGAAACTACTCACAAGGTCGCTGAAAACTCGTCGACAGCCCACGGCCGGTTTCGCACTTCTTGGGACTCATTAGGTAGATGCGGTCCCAGGGTTTCCGTCAACTTTATGTTTTATTTGTGTTGATCGGCTGGCCTGGACCTCCAGACTCTTCAGGGAGATGGTTTCACCTATGAGTGAAACCTAATGCTTCGTATGTTATAGGTCTGGCCAAAGACCACCATTGATTCTGAACTTCAATGACAGCGAGATGCTAGTCAAATGCTTCCCCTTTTGGTGCGAATTGACCAGAATAATCGCCTCAGGTGAGCCCAGAGTTTTCAAAAGTCATCGCGTTCGAATTCTTACTATTGACCGAGAGGGACTTCAAGGCGTTTGAGCAAGACACGGAGCGATTTCTTGTTTCAAACAATGGCATGAATTTTTTCGCGAATTACGATTACTTGGGAGAAACCAGCAGGACGTTTTTCAACTTTTCACTACCCTCGACTTAATAGTAATCGGGCCGACGAGACCTGGATTCGGCTACGGGCATTGTGAAAGCACAACCTTAATCTCCCTCCATGTCCTAGTAAAACTTCAGCTGCAAACTAATTTGTTTTTTTTTCGAACCCAGCTGAATCTCTCGTTTGTGATGCTTTCAGGCAAATGAATGTACTGCACCAGGCCACGCGGGGCAGATAGGCACTCAGAGGATCCTGCAGCTGAATGATTTCGATTTTGGTGTTGGCCGTACCAACAATACAGCTCAAACTTTGAACAAGATTGCCTGTTCAAACGTCTTAATTCAGGGGCGTCAAATATGCACATTCGCCTCGTTTAGCAGTCGTCCGAAGTTTGGCAGGCGCTGTAATACTTGTAAAATTATCATATATATGTATATATTGTTGGTAGGATTATACAGCACAACCAGCTAGCAAAGTGGGCGAAATAGTGGAGTACCTTTTTTGTACCTCTGTTCTAGCCCTCCGCGAGTGATTTCAGTGTGAATTGCACACTTTGTTCCCATGATTCATATGCATGCGAATGTGAGCAGCCACACCAGAGTATTACAAGTCACGAGCATCGCCTAACATCATTCATCTCATCGTGTGTATCTTACCGATGGCGAGAAAACAAACAAGGCCCTTCGTTGGATTTAGTTGACTATTTTGTGTAAACTTTCACAGTGAGCGACCAAGACAGCTGCGAGATCGAACTGCCGGAGGTCCAGTATAAATGAAACAAACAGTAAAGTGTGCCAGTTTAATGCACTGAGGACGACTGATCTGTCGAACGGCTGTAGTAGTATGTAGTCTCTTGATTCGACAACTGGCTTGCTTTCCATGGACCCTAAGTAATGGTCGATAAACAGATACGACAAACTGTTTGTTGTCCGAGGTCTGTGCGTCAATTCTTTCGGAACTGACCAACCGCACTGTCCGGAATGCAGAGTTCCAAAAATGCTTTCAAATCAAGACAACTCCATCAGTGTGGCATGAAACAGATACCAACTAAATGACCTGACAACAGAGAACAACTTAGGTGGCCTGGCGGTACGAATCATAAGAATGTCATGAAGTCAGGCGACCGGTTTCGTTCGCGTTCAGACCATAATTATTTATCTGAATATCCGCATGGTAGATTGGTTTGTCCTGAATGTGGTTTCGGACCATAAAACATAATTCTCCAATGTATATCCCACAATTATGATGAAGAGGAGAGGGCGGTACTTCATCACAGAGTGTACAATTTTCGCCAAGTGGTGTCCATTACACACTGTTCTGTAGCACAGGCTATCGCATGAACTTCCAGCCACGCAGAATGCATACAACGGTAAGCGAGACCATGTATTTTGGGGGCAAGTGCGGTTCAATAGAAGTGCGGCGTTAGTTGAAATGGGGAATTAATCTTCAGGATCACGGTAGTCATAGTTGAGAAGTTTTTTCAATGTCGTTTGCAAAAACGAGTTGATCTTGACAGGTAGTTTGCCAGGATCACGTGTGAACAATTATATCATTCGGTGGCCTGTTGCAGTACACATCGGATGGCGAGCATCAGCTTGTCGCCAAAATCGATACATCGATACAAATCAAAACCCACACGGCACTGGCTGGGTTCACGCCGATCCGCTCTTGAGCAATTCCATCTTGGAACTATCATCTCATGTCTCAAACTTAGCTTCCTGTCGCAGCCTTGATCATGTAAGTTATTCGTTAAATTCCACACCTCACTCCTTCGATTCAACCTTTATTAGTCGCTTGCGGAAGGACAGCTTTTTAATCTCTATGATTTTCATACATCGACCAGACGTGTGATTACTCAACTTGGAAAAATTACCAGAGAACCAAACATGGTGCAATGCTACGACGTGTTGTTTCATTCAGCACTGAATCACTGGTAGCTCAGCTGTCGAACACTTGTCTAGAAGTAAATGATCAGCTGCCTAGTCCAATGGCAATTCTGGTGTACATATAGCTGTCTTCAACAGTTATATGGGGCAGATGGCAACAGATCTGTCGAGTTAAACTCCATTATTCAGTATCAGCTATTTCGTTGATTGTTGTTGAAAACGTTCTACTTCTAACTTATTCGGTAGGTGCTCCGCTGAACACTTAGGAAGACAGAATTGGGATAAGTTCGTGGGAGGACGAGCTGCAAACATACATACAGTTCACTACATGAAGGTCAGAGTACAGTTTCTATGGGGTTAGCATCCAATTTCCATTACCTGGAGACTCAAACAGATCCCTCGCTTTTGATATTGCTCAAGTCAGTGTGCTGAACCCAGATCACCTCATGGTTAACTAGGGCCGTTATTCAATTTAGTGCAATATGTTTCTCTGGTACTACACTACTCACAGTGGTGGATCGAACCAGAGGCGCCTGGCCGCTAGTTCATGGACTTATGTTCAAGGTGACCCGGGCGTCTTGCACAAAAGACTTAGCCATTGAAAAGGCTTCTGCAGCTCTATGATTACGGCATTTATTATCTGTAATCAATACAGTTAACTGGAATGTCCACCAGATGATGTGAACACGTTAAGCCGTGAATTCACAGGCCAAGAAATCTAGTAATTTCCGCTAGCAGTATGCAGCGCCCCTTCCTAGCCAACAATTAATCACTAAAGGCCGCGGCCTGCCGTGTCTGGTTCACCCTAGCTCACTTTTGTTTTTTCCCACATGAAACCAAATGCGGTAAAGTCTAACCGACCTAAATAGCTACCATTGGGATCCAGTGTGTCAGCCGTGTTAGAAGCATGGCAGAGCAGCAGGGGGCAATAAGATATCTGGCCACGAACAGAATGGTACTGATACATACGCTCAACAGGGAGTTGTTATTCACTTAACTATGATGCAAGGGCGATCAACATTCAGATGCGGCTGTAGAACTGCAGGAAACCTTCTGGCAAGGGACATCAAATGACACACGCACAAAAGGACATTTCATATATTCGACGTGAGTTTCCCATCAAAATTTCCAAAGGATCTGGTTTTACCCCACAGACTCGAACAAGGAGAACATTCTGTGCGCCTGTCACTTTGCCCTAGTACTCAACAACTGTCAGTGTCCCACAACAGCATATATCCACTTCAAATAAGGATAATTCATTCCTGAAAGTCAGTTTGGAGGTCGATCAAGCGTGATTTGTCGGTCAGCGAACAGTGACTACTACTCGAATATGTGGTCTACTCTACAAAAATGATACACTAGGGCCTCATGACTGTCCTGGTTATGAACTGCTCACTCATTGCTGGAACTCGACTGAGAACGAGCGTACCAGCCTCGTTAAAATTCTTGAACAAATACCCATGAAACGCCTCTGGAATTTACATCACTGCCTTGGAATCAGTTTGGGCATCTCTTTGCTTGCTGACCGGTTTTATCACGGATCCGGTTACTGGATGTGATTTACTTCTCCCCCCTGTCAAATTACTCTTCCTGACGGAAGACGGTAAAGTTTCTCGGGCATTGCCTTTGTTTACCGAACACTAACATTCTTGACTTATCTTCATTTGTGTTCTACTTTCCATTGTTTCAAGTCTAGAATCCCATACGTGTGGTAAGATGGGTCCGTTGGCAGTGCCCACTTTGATCTATTGACCAATTAGTTTGGTGGAATCATAGCCACCCAGTCCACCACAGAAGTACAAAGCAGAGTGTTTTATTCAGAATCTTTGTTATAAAGGACCGCGTCAAGGAAACGGTCATCCTGGGAAGATGTATTCATTGCTTGCAGTGGTATGCAGGGTACAGTGGTGCGCATGCGAAGCTGAATGGGAGAGATGTGTGGTTAAACTAACAAGAAGAGTTTTTTCTATCTATTGATCGCAATTCTGCTATTATCCTACGACCGGGACAACTCTGTGTTCATGAGGGAGATAAGGGGATATTTCATGAAGTTGCAAAAAGTCACAGGTGTTGTTTGTTATCCTAGCAGCGAAGAGCACGAACACGAAAGATCGAAATAAGAAAGCACCTTTGTCATGGATTACACTTTGAGCATCCATCTCCGAACTGTACAATTTTGATATCATTAAGGAATGAGTTCAGTTGGACGTGTTTGATTCTCTCGGGAGGAGATACATGGAAGACTGTAGCGTAGCGAATTGTTAGATTTCGAAAAACGATTTCCTTGAGCAGTTGGTCGTCTTACCATATTTGAAGCTTGAGGAAGATTGACTTGGTACAGTGATCGGTAGCATGTACCCTGCGAATTCGACGGCTGTTCGTTCGATTTCTCCCATAAATCCGCCTCGGATCCAAAAGTGAGACGTAGACTAACGGGAACGCATCGACCTGACTTGTTATCCCTCTTTTCGGAATCCTCAGCAACTTCAATCTGTTTCAGATCGCTAACTGAAGCTACTTTGGTAATGCATATTTCATTATTCGTAGCCGCGATAGTGAAGGTGAACGGAGTCTCAGTTTCGATACAGATGTCTTCGTTGGAGGCGACGCGACCCAGAAGAAATTTGTTCGGAGGTAGGATTTGCAATTTGCTGTTGCGGTTTTCCAGTCCTGGATAACCGCCAGCATCCTGTGCGTTTGAATCGTCGTTGTTCACTGAGGAACGACTAAGGCGTTCTAGACCTCTTTTCAGGTCGAAAACCAATGGGTAGGCCTGTGGATAAGCGGGATGGACAACAAATTTTAGTAGCACAGGTATCCTTAAAGTATACGCCATAGAACATCGAACGAAACTGAAGCAGGATTTAACTGGTGATCAAAAGTGCAATTGGTGTTAGCCGGCGACTGGCAAGTATTCGACGGTACAGACAATCACGGATAGCTCACACACTCCATACAGTCTTGATTCAGTCGTCCCCTTCCGCAAGCGGTAGTCACTAAGGAGTGTTCTATCTAGGGAGGAATACCTGTATGATTTTACTGCAAACGAGAATCATGCTATGTGCAAGAAAGTGTGAGGTGAATCATTGAACTCATGTATTTCATGAAAATAGCTACACATTTTGTACTTTTGGCGGCACGTCCACCTAGAGTGGGGCAAAGTTTCAAGCAGACTAAACATCGCAGCAAGATACCTAAACAGTAGAGTGTGAAAGAGTAGAGTTGCGAAAAGCACAACCACTAACCCACCGCTACACACAACTACGCTCCCAAATAACGCACTGATGATGTCACCTCGACTGGTGATGAAACGTTTGCAAGCAAATTGCCCAGCTCAGCGAACAAGCCAACGACCACCATCTACGCCTGAGCTACCACACTTTCCTCCAAAAAAGACAACCATTTGTACAACCACAACTGGAAGTTGTATTAATCGATTCTCTAACCACTAAGGTGAACCACCAATAAAATCCACTATGGTTCAATGTACATTCCACATTCCTGTCACAGATATTGCATCGATGCTCATGTGTTTCACAGTGAACAGGCGATAGAAGACTGGATGTATTGACCAATACTAGCATCGACCTTTTTCAACGGTCCGCTGCGAACGATGGATCAGGTGACTGAATTAGCGGTACTCCGGGTGGACAATTGTTCAAACAAAGAGCCCAGTCTTCGAGTTTCAGTGAGGAGTATTTCAATGTATTCACGCCAACTCAAGTCAGAGTTCACAGCTATGGCTGGTGCGCATTCTCTGCTCACAGCTGGAACCACAATGGGTGAAATAACTTCAGAAAGTTCACTTCGCCTCAGCGTAAAACAATCTTAATCGATTTGGATAGTGAGACATCTTATGTTCATCGATATCCGGCTTTCTGTTCTACCCAGGCGAGTAAGCTTTCGATGGTTGCTCTGAGAACGGGGATTTCTCCTGCATATTCTTATCAAATTGCGCGTTTCATCAAGTTCCAAAGAGTTTACGTGGACAGTCGACAGAGAACATCGCAAAATAAATCCTTGGAGCATGCCATTTTCGTCGGCGAGCTTCTTCAACTGCCTTGGATCGGCAAAGTAACTGTGCAAGAGATAAAAAAGGGGGCCTTTCGATGCCCGTCCTAGGAAGACTACACATCAGCAGTTTTCGGTCGATTAAATTGAAGGAAGCACTGAAGTCCACAAGACAATCACTTTTCCTGATGCCTAAACCCTTCAAAATTGTGTGGTAGTGAAAGGCTACCGCAACCATGGTAAATCCACGAGTCTTGTATGCAAACTGACGTGAATCACCGGAAGCATTCAATGGAGGCTTTATAATACTGAGGGATAGACTGTTTATCGCTTCCAACCACACCTGAGTTCATGAAATGGGAAGAAATTCGGGTGAATCGGCAGGTTGACAGACTTTGCGTTTTGGAAGTGTCCCAGCAATCCCTCATTCATTGGCGAGGTTCTTCTTGGACAAAACTGAACAACCTGCACAGTGGGACAGATGTTCTGAAGCGGGGCACTTTAACAACACCAGGATCACGAGGTCCGCTGGCGTTGTTCCACCGCGTTTTCACCACTTTAACAAAAACGCATTTCGGGCAGAGGGGCATTGCTTGAGGATTTGGTCTATTTATTAGCATGTAAACACCCAGGCGGAACCTTTTGTGGGGAAATTGACATCGGGTGGCTTGAGCGTTACAACATTCGCTACGTGTCTGTTTCTCACCCAGAAGACTGTCATGTAATGAATCCTACAACCAGTAAGTAAGACGAGTTGGTATCAGTTGCGTTCAGCCCGCAAATCACATACTTAATTTGAAAGGAGAACACCGATGCCGTGATCTTAACTCCGGCTCTGTATACCTTTATTTTGTAGTCTGGGTGAAACCGTCTGTCTGTAGGACTTCCCAAATAACGCAGCTTCAGAGATGTCTCCGGGGAACGAGAAGCAGCGTCACATAGAGTTCCTCTCTCCGTGGTTCCGTTCCTATGTCAAAGATGGTCCGAGTCAGACAAAGCCTTTGGATTCGGCGTTACTGAACATGGGTGCCAAGCCTCTTGGTGTTCATAGTGTTTTTTCACTAGGTCTTTTGTTGGTAGATGGATTTCAAATGAATTTCACAGTGACGTTTGTCTGGCTTTACGCGTGGGCGGTTTGAAATTGATTGTAATAATACCATTATTATCAGTGATAGTGATACTACTGAATTTCCCTGCTACTCCCCTATTTCACTCATATTCACTAGCCGACTAAATATTGATTTGATCATCAAGGTATTTAATTCGACTCAGCTCATGATCATGTTGCGCCTGAAAAGGTTAGTCGTACCTGCTCGAAATACGCCAAATTTAGAAATCCCGTTATCAAGCAGTTTTGATTTTTCGACGTGTATTAAATAGGACGCAGTCAAATGCTGATATCAAGAGCGATTTTCAGTTCTAACTTTAAGAGCTTCCAAATTTTTCATAAACGTTGGAATCAGGAAAAAAATTTTAAAAAAAGAACAATTCCGTGTACTGCATTGTTCATTGGCGCCGGACGTCACTCAGTCGGTTCTCGAGACACTCACAGCATGATTTCCACTGTCTGACATTTCATCTGTTTCCGGTAAATGAATTAATATAAAAATGAAGTTTTTTATTTGGTATTTCCCTAGTATAGGTTTATAGTTTGATTACATCCACTGTCTTTCTAAGGTCATTCAAAGCTTGGATGTAGTCAGGGTTCTGTGGAGATTCAAATCAAGTGGTCAGAAGTTGGCTGTAAGTTGGCTGACTGTTAGGTTTGTCGAGAACGAAGTTTCTCTGAGTCAGTCTCTGGCAGAAAAGGCGGGACAAAGGCGATTTAACGCAAGACAGCTTTATATAGGCCACCTGTAAACAAGACAATGACTGAGCAGTGATCCTATGCGAAACATTTCAAGCCTTGCCAAAAACCTTTTCAATAAATTTCAACCAATCTTGGACCCCCTTTCTTTCAAACCATTTAAAGTCAACAACCATTCAAAACAGTTTTCGGCTACTCTGCTTTTTTGGAAGCTAAATTGAAACAATTAAGATGAAATCACAGAAGAATTTCATGGTAAAATGTCCAGTAGGCATGTGGCAACTTGTGATTTCGTTCCAGTGGCATTTTGCAACCCAACTATCTAGATTTGACTGATCAGGACTTGCCGGGATGCTTGAGAAATTTAAGATAAAAGTCTAGCTTTATCTAGTTGAACGAAACGGTGAAACTGCATAGATAAAATAAGCGATACAGTTGGAAACAACAATGTCGTATCGGAGTGGAGAGTGCTCCAACATCCACAATCACATGAATTATCGTCTTGTTGTACAAGTCGATCATTGCGTGACCACCGAAGGTCTTTTTAGATGAGTTAAGTTGGAGTCAGTAGTACGCTTGAAAACATGTACTTACATGGACGTCGACAGCCGGGGGTAATCCATTTGCACCGCGCTTTTGTCCACGTTCGCTTGCACGAAACGGAGCCAGTGGTCTGCTGATGACTGGACCGGTATCTTCCTGCACTCCAGTGATTGATCCCGCGGAAGCGAAACCCGAACTGTTTGCCAATGGACCGTTTGGTACTGCATCCCTGTCTTTGATTTCAGGCCGCCGACGCACTGGACTAATTGTCGCAGCTCGCCGCAATGTCGGCCGTAATTCTATATTGGTCGATATTGAGGATGCTTGTGTCAACTGACTGCTAGTCATGGGATCTTGTGAGGTTTTGGGTACGGTGAGCTGCAAGCGAGTCACCGATCGCCGTCGCCCGCGCTCTATAGGCTTAGGTATACCGTCCTCCTTTGTCGAGTGCTCGCATTTGCCGATACTAGTCACAGTTGGCTGTATAGACCGCCTGTTTGCCGGTGGCGGTATTCTTGTCCATTCCACGCTTGGAGTTCCATCCCAGTTCCCCCAATTCTCCATACCCTCGTAGATTGGAATGCAGTCACCCTCTCTGTTGGTCACACGTTGGTGGGTATCTGCAAGTTGGGTGGCTAATGCGTCTGGAGGTGTTGACTGACACATCAAAGAGACCGGATGCCTTGAAAACGAACCAAAGTCGAAAGATCAGGAATAAGGAAGTCGAAACTAGTATATACTGCAAGACTCAAGGTTGTAGGCGGTTCCTACAACATCCCAGTAACCAGTCACCCAAGTCACTTATGAATCACGCACATTTTCACGGCAAAAACTACTGTGTGCTAGAATAACAAAACATAGGTCATGTGCGTGTTTAGGTGGACCGTAACAAATTACGAACTGGTAAATTTATCACTTATCACTATATCACTTATCTTCCTGTTTACAAAAATTAGCCAGTTGCGCCGCAACGAGAAAGAATAATGAAAACTTGGTACAAAAGTAAGGAAATAATTCCCAAGCCATGACCATCGTGGCTGGTGTGGGATTCGAGTGGGGAGTGATGCTCTACATACAGATTCAAAATTCCCACAAAATCGATCGTACTGAACGAGCGTTTTCAACCTATAGGATATCCTTTTTCAACAGCACGGAATACCTTAGCTCATACAGGCCTTCACTCAAACAAGCAGACAATCATAGGATGGTCTTCAATTATCGTATTTTATTTGATATCTCGTCAAAAAACACCTGCATTAGTCACTGGAAAATATCCGAACGCCAGGCATGGGCATGAGAATGCGCTGTAGAGTTCTTCACTGACTTGAACCTTTATCTACTCGGTCACTTTATTTATCTATTTTATTGGTGGATGGCCTTCACAAACTTGTCAAGCCATACAGCCAGTATTCGGCCGAATTCCTGAATTTAACTCGCTTGACAAGTATGAGCGGAGGGGGAATCCTTGCAAAGAAGGCCGGAGATGTTCACCACTGGTGAGCTCTCTGAATCGCGAACTTGAGTCTGCGACCTTATACTTTTTCTATAAACCAACCACAGCAATAGTGCCAGGAAGGGAGGAAGGCATTTTAAACAGGAGTGATGTAGGAACGAATTCGATCAAGATCAGTAAAGTTCAGAAATCGCGGTAAAATAAAAAGACCAGGTGTGGATGCTTCGTTTATGGCGTTTCAGTAATGTTGGTGGTCAGTACCCTCTTTAAAGAGGATGTGTAGTTGGCCCTCGGCATAGGGGGCTCATTCCGCTGTTGAAAGGTCTCACAATCACAGTATGTTATATCTGCTGATTCGCCAATCTGAGGTATCTGCTGCTGACCCGCTCCAGTGCCTAGTGTCGGAGAGAAAAGACTCACGGAAGGGAACACAACAGTTACATTCCAACAAAGCGGATGCGAGAGCGTGAGTGCGTGCGAATACGAATGTACGACGGTCTCAAGCTATTTATTGGAGGGACACTGCCTGAACTCGGTCCAATGCTGACGCACACGGTCTGGCTTTTGTATGAAGCTGTGACGTTCTGCGTATTGCGGGGGCGTTGCCTGACCTTGATCAACGCTGACTCTCGCTGTCTGGGTTTGACACAAGGTTGTGGGGCGCTGCATACTGAGGGGGCGTTGTCTGTCTGGTCAACATCTAGCGGAGTTGAGAGTCTCGGTAGATTTCCGGGCATTCAGTAGTTACTCTCAGGAGTCTGACCTTCCCGATACAGTCAAACAGGGCTGCGAAAGAAAGTCGTGTTGAAATATAAACATTATTTCATGCAAGAAGTCGCAAAGCGGCGCAACCACAAATATCTTCCAAAATGAGTCCACCTTGTTTCTTCCATTATGGTGGCCTCTAGTCAGGAGAAGTACTGTGACATCCTGGAGGGAAAAAATTTTCCCATGAAAACATCCGTTGGTTTTAGCCTCTTGGTAACAAACTTCTATGGGCAGTAAACAAAACAAGAACAGTGTGGTTGGACAGTTTGTGACCGGTTGTATTGGGGGACACTTGGGAATTTCAGACGGTAGATGTTTTGCAGACAACAACAGGAAGCGATGTTCCGATTCCCGTGCTGTCGTCAACCAGCGAGTAAGTACTCTGAAGGCATGCTTAGAAACATCATAAACGAGAGATTCCACTGGGTTCCAGGTGAGTTTCTCGCAAAGCCAAATTCGTTTGAAAACATATGTATTTCGCCAATTTAGCGCAATTCGGCTCAAGTAGAACATAGGGTTGACGGAAACTCGGGGTCTGAGCCTACGTGATGAGCCCCAAGACAGCGAAACCGGTTGTGGGCTATCGAAGACTTTTCAGCAACCTTATGAGTAGTGTGTTGCCCCATTTAATCATTGACGGCGGGAACGAAGGTATTTCAACAGGTCTGANAAGCAACACCGGGGCTGAATTTAGTGAAAATCAAATGTTGTATGACAAGTCGGTGTGAAGTTTGTGAAAAAGTCGATCAGATTAAGAAACAGAAGCTAGTCACTGAAATACACTAATTTGCTGACAAAGCCTAGAAACATCATAAATGGAGAGATTCCCTGGGTTCCAGGTGAGTCTCTCGCAAAGCCAAATTTGTTTGAAAACATATGTATTTCGCCAATTTAGCGCAATTCGGCTCAAGTAGAACATAGGGTTGACGGAAACTCGGGGTCTGAGCCTACGTGATGAGCCCCAAGACAGCGAAACCGGTTGTGGGCTATCGAAGACTTTTCAGCAACCTTATGAATAGTGTGTTGCCCCATTTAATCATTGACGGCGGGAACGAAGGTATTTCAACAGGTCTGACGTCGTATGGTACAGTTTAGCAGCGGTGCTGAAGGCAAATCTGCAGTCATTCTTGGGAAAACAGGGCGCACAAAATTCAGCCTGAAAAATTATCAGAAGGCTACATCTTGATTCTAACTAGTGTACGTTTTTTCCCCTGATAATCCAACGACTGATCCTTCCATGTGTGGAAATAAAAAATAACACGACCTGCTTGCGCTACCAGGTGAAGAACCCTAGTTTTATCACTTCAATATTTATGATACGACGAGAAATCGAAGACAACCAGTTTGACCTAGGCTTAGACCGCCGGGTTAATTGACGAACGATCTAGTTTCTTACACTTAAGCCGGGTATCCAGTGGACTTCATCAGGGTACGCCATATCTGTATCTGTTCGACTGCTGGTTTAGCATGTCATCTACCTGTTGAGGGGCTAACACATTCGTTGTGTACAAGTGTTTGTAGTGGCCTTGGATTTTCTACTAAGTGGCACAGCGCTTGCTGTTAGCTCCAACTGGTTTCATTTCTTGTTCTCCTTTCATTTTTCGGTGATGACAGTTTTTTTCCCGGAGAAGGAAGGAGAAACAGGCACATGATGCGACCACGTTTCCCTCAAACTGTCCTAATTTTACACTCAAACCTTTGGATAGATCATGTCATTCGCATGCCTCCCGGTGATGCCCACCACAAAATGGATTAAATGTTTCGCGAATCATTGGACGGTTGTGACAAGCTCCGTGAAGCAATTGGTTCATTTATTTTACAAGTTGTGTAGGCTGTGATACGTAGGTCCAGAAAGGCATTTGTTGGCGTCAAGCTAAAAACTATAAACCGATTCGTCCAACCGTTGATAGTGCGCGGTAGATATTATTGATTTGCCAATATCGATCTCAGTGTTTGTCACTCAAATTACTGTTTTAGTTTGCTTACTCTGATCAAAACAGAATTCGCACTTGGGCATCACACCAAATAGGTTTGTGTGTTAGCCACTAGATAAGAATAGAGTTCAGAATATGGAATGAAAACTGTGGTGTCAATCCCATACAAGTCAACACGGCACACAAATGAGCAAGTACACGGCGAGAACCCAGAAACCAGATATCAGGAAGGTCAGATTCCTGAAAGTAACCTCAGAACGCCTGGAACCTACTGCTCCACCAAAATCTCAACAGGAAAGCCGGCAAGCATCCAGGCCAGTCAATCATTCAATCAGTTCAGCAAAAGCCAATGAGTCCTCATGCACGCCACAGAAGCACGACCGAATGTGATCAGCGTTCAGGCATTCCACTGAGGCACGATCGATGTTGATGGGTCTTCATTAACGCCTATCAGACAGCCTGGATCAATGTCAGAAAGTCCCCTTTAAGTAGCGTGGGGCCGTTGTAACTTTTGCTCTCGCGCCCGCATGCACTCACGCTCTCGCACTCGTTTTTTTCGGAATATAGCGGTTGTGTTCCCTTCTGTGAGTCTTTTTTTCTCCGGCATTAGGCACTGGAGCGGGTTAGCAGCAGCTACCACCGGTCGGCAAATCAGCAGATATAACACCAGAAAATCGCAAGTAAAATAATTACAACTAACTAATTTTGAACACTAGGAACCCTCCGTTGTCCGATGGATTATCGATCCACTAAATTTTCATCCATCAGTTACTCAGACTGCTCACACATAACAGATGCTCACAGTGAGTTGAGTCATGAACTTTGTAAACCATCTGTAAACTATATAAGTGCACGCTGTTTTCTGTAGGGTAGTGTCATGCCCCGTAGACAGACGTTCTGACAGTGTGAAGACAGACAACTCATCTGTGCGACAGTCAGAACAAAAACTAAACGAATGTGACGGTCGACAACGTATGCTGGACGTGTGTCCGTACAGAATATCACTATTACCACGACTTTTCGATTTTTCATTTTTGTGGCTTATGAGGAGTTCATGAAAGGCTCCGTAGGATTTCAACAACAAACAGAACCTTAATTTGGTTCATATGCACTGCAACAGTGTTTTGAGTGTTTGTTCCAGTCGCACTCCGTCTTTGCCTAAGGTGTAACGTTTTTTTAAAGCATAATCCCCGGTGACTTACACGGTCTCTACATGCATGTGACGAGAGTGTTTTTGACACAAATCAGTGATACCTAAAGCGCCATTCAGCGACTACGTATAACTATACAGTCGAAAATGAGGTATTTATCGTGCAGGTCCAATTTGTATGGGACGAACGAACGAGAAATTTTTGGGGTTTTGCGGGATAGGTATGTTGTTCATAGCCACCACTCTCGTTTGAACGGTCGTGTTCCTGTGCTGGGCGTAATTATTTCGGTGAGTCCACACCAAAGGGAAGCACTGGACTCGAGTTTCGCTCTTATTAGAGCTCATCAGCAGTGCATATCCAATGACCGTGCCGGGAT